TTTCCGAGAAAAACGGGAAAAACTGTTTTTTTCTATTCTTATTTTTGCGAGAAAAATTCGTGGGGTTTTGAAATTTGGAGCAAACATAGCTTGTTTTATGAAAAAATGAGGCAATTTTTTTGAGCCCGTAAAGTTGTGCCGTTTTCGAAATTTCACGATTTTCGAAAAAAAAAACCTCTTTTTTAGATGACAAAAACTGGGAAAACAGTTTTAAGATATACACGGTTTTTGTCATGTTAAATAGCTCTTTTTGCAACTAATTTGGCGCATTGGCTAATAGAGATTTTTCGAAATCTGCCCTCTCCCTGCTCTTTAATGAATGAATGAATTTAATGATATTTTCTTTTATTTCCTTGTGTTCAACTACTTCAATTAAAACATCTTTATTATTTCTTTTTTCTTCATTCTACCACAATAAAAGCAATCCGTAGTAAAATAGAATTCTTTTGCTTCCTAAACAATTTGTTTTTATTCACTGATTCTTCTTCCTGCCTGTTTTACAGCAGATGCGATTGGGCTGGGCTTGTTGATCGTTAATTTACAGGAATTATGAATCAAATCCTCACGAAGTTTATTCCAGGTTTTATATCTCAAATCATTTCTTGCTTTGGCCGATACAACTAACTTTTCTATTGCAAATTTTTCAGGTTTTTCAACAGACCTATCGCAATTGCATCCGCTGTAAAATAAGCAGGACAGAAAACAATTGTTCAGGAAGCAAAGGAATTCGATTTTACTTCGAATTGCTTTTATTGCGGTAAAAATGCAGAAAAAAGCAATAATAAAGATGTTTTAGTAAAGCAGTTGAGCATAAAGAAAAAAAGCATTTTAGCAACATGAAAGCAGAGAGAAAACAAACTTCAAAAAAATCTTTATTAGCGCGGATGCAACACTTTACTTTAGTTTTTTTTAATTTATCCTGTCAAAAACCGTGTATATCTTAAAACTGCTTTTCCAGTTTTTGGCGATTTTCTCGAAATTTTATTATTGGAATAGTATTTTTTATTTTGGCTTATTAAAACATATGGTTTAGCATCTTTATGACTGATTTATTATTAATTTTCAAAAGAATTAGTACACGGTTACAAAGCATAATGTAACCACCTTTTTTTTGTTATGACCTTCGAGATGAATATTCCAATACAGATTTTTTTTAATGACTAAAGTTAACCAAATGCTATACTTTTTAACTTGGTTTGACCAAAATATATAATTACTCAATTTTAAGCGAATATTGGACTCGTATGACGGTTGTGGATTATTTATAGCCCATGAACACTAATTTTCTTAAATGTACACATACTTTTAAGAACACCATGTCAATGCTATGTATGGGATAGATGACTATAGCAAACTAACATTACACGCGACAAACGAGGTTGTTTTTAATGTTCTTACTCCCTTCAATAATTTAATAATTGAAAATTAATAGTTATTTGTGTACCAAGGCCGTAAAAGTGATCTTTTTTGGCCGAAGCTGCTGTTTGTGGCCGAGGCGGTAGCGAGGCCGGGACATTTCGCCGAATGCCCACAACGCCGACACGATTTTTTGAAGGTCCATATCGCCGACTAGGGACACTACGCCGACGGACACTACGCCGACCGTGCCCACATCGTCGACAAGTGTGCAAGGGACACAACGCCGACCATGCCCACTTCGCCGACGGACACTACGCCGACCGTGCCTACATCGCCGACAAGTGAACAAGGGACACTAAGCCGAACGTGACCATAACGTCGACTCATACAACACTTCTTAATCAAGCTGGACGGTGTGCAACACCAAGTAGCTTTTGACGTTAGGTTATTGTAGGTTCAGAATATTTTTTTAACTTTTTTCGAACTACAGACTCATACGAAAATTCTTAATCAAACTGGACGGAGTGTGAAGCAAAGCAGCTTTGGATATTAGGTTATTTGTAGGTTTAGGACATGTTTTTTAAACTTTTTAAAATGCAAACTCATACACTGGACAGAGTATGAGGGGCCTGGATTTTCGAACAGTCGGCGTTGTGGTCACGTTCGGCTTAGTGTCCCTTGCACACGTTTCGGCAATGTGGGCACGATCGGCGTAGTGTCCGTCGGCGAAGTGGGCATATGGTCGGCGTTGTGTCCCTTGCACACTTGTCGACGATGTGGGCACGGTCGGCGTAGTGTCCGTCGGCGTAGTGTCCCTAGTCGGCGATATGGACCTTCAAAAAATCGTGTCGGCGTTGTGGGCATTCGGCGAAGTGTCCTAGACCCGCGGTAGCCGAGGCCGCAATTCAGATGAGGCATAACAAATCACTTTTGGCCAAGGTGCACACAACATTTTTTAGGCGATCATCAAAAAAGAATTCAAAAATTTGCTCATAAACATATTTTTTTCTGAAAATCATAGTTATCTTAGACAATTAAAAACAAAGCATTTCCTGTCATATGTAATAAATTATAATTTCGTGTGTTTTGTGCGTATCAAAATGGGTGATAGCGACAGTTCAGATACCTACCCAAAATGAAATTTTGGAAGCTGCAGGCGTTGCGACCCTATGTCATATATGATATAAGAGCAGGCGTTTGAGAGTAAAAGTACAATCGCAACTTCCTCCGCTGCACAAGATTTTAATAATGTCAAATGCAATAGGTCCTTCGTAACTGTAGCTTCCAAGACCTTATAGTTAACATGCTGTACAATTATTAGAAACCTGATTACCTACTTTGATGGTAGGGTAGGTATAGGTAGCTACTTGTGTTTTCGGTTAATTGCTGGTGATTCTTCGTAGGTATAATAATGTAAGCAATAACATCTTCCTCATGTTTTGGTTCTACACTTCAAAAAGGTCTGCAAGCAGCAAAGATTGGAACGTCAAACTATAATTTTAAATGTGAACATTGTGATTATGCAAAATGGTGTGAAACATTCCTACAAGTCCGAAAATGAAAAAAACGCACGTGGATGGCCCAATCCTTGATGGGGCGAGACCAGATAGACGCTTTGTATCAAACAGATTACTGTTTCTCACACATCAGTTTCAAATAAGTACAGTTTGACAGAAGCGTACAATAAAGTGAAACTTTATGGCCGCAAAAGCGACCATAAAATCAACGTTTTTGTGATGATAGCCTAAAAATTAGTTTTTCTATTTCGATGTGGAAACAATACCGAAACCGTACTTGATTGGTCCAGTTTGCGTGCGTTTCTAGACAGAAATGATGCTGAAAGAAATAGAAACGTATTATTTTTTTTATTTTGTTGGATTGGCACCCCTCGCTTTTTTGCCGTCATCGGTATCCGTCAAATCAAAACTAAACATAACCTGTAACGTATAAATAAAGTACGAGAGAGGAATTTTTTACTAAATTTCAAATAAACAAACAACAATTTATTGTACAACTGTACAAGAGACGTGTTTGTCATCCGTATTCATCATAACTGCCGCAAAATGGAATTATGACCAAATAATTAAAAGTTTGAAGTTTGAAAATACAGGAATCAGGTTAGCCAACGTGAAAATAAATGAACTTTGTCTATTACCAACATACACTGAATGATAGTTTAAAATTACCTAACAACGCCTAAAGGCAATATTTATAATTTGTATAATTTATTATTTAAAAGTCGAAATAGTATAAAGCACACGTGTCATTTGACTACTTGTCGCACTCGGCTTTTGCCGCATTCGCCGCTACGCGGCTTATGCGGCAAACTACCTCGTGCGACAATCTTCGTCAAATGACACTTGTACTTTAATATACTATTCCATGAGAAAGGCAGACCGGACTTCTTGCCGCCCGTCACTTTACCGGCCGCACCTGTCACTTTTCTGGCAGTCAGTGTCACATTACTAAATGTCTATAATGACTCATGTCATCACTGACAGATTGACATTAATCGAAAATTCTATATGAATTTTGAAATTTTATATTAAAATAGGATTTCGGGTAAAATTTAATACAAAAAAAAGAGTACATCTAAGGCAATTATTTCTGGTTAGAATTTGCGCATAAACGTGTAAATCGACCGTTACTTGCGCTCGTTATTCTAATTAACAGATTTCGTCTAAATTATGTGGGTATTTATAACGACGCAAAAGCGTTAATTACACTTGAAATATAAAACATTTTAGCGTAAAACGGCGCGATGATCAAAAGAGGAGAAGTGAATCTGCCATTCCGTTTCTTCCTCAGGTACAATTAAGTAGGCATTTCCATTAAATACATCTGTCACATAACGACTTAATTTGCTAGAGGAGAGATTTAAGTGGTACAATTAGGAACGAATTAATTAATATTCAATTCATACCTTGATATTTACTAAACTTTTGTTCAAACTTGCAAATTTCTCATAATTAATTTTATAGGATGTATTTATTTACATTTAAAGATAAACATTGGGCTTTGTACCGAGCAAATTGAGCTTTCCCATACGTAAGCTTCTTTGAAAATTCCACAGTAGTTGTACACAGCGTAAGCCCTTTACCAAGCTATAAGTAAACTACAGCTGCGTTGTTTAACTGTTGGGAAGAAGAGACGATTTATATTAAGCAGGTTTCTCTACATAAATTAGATTATAAATTCAAATGTATTCGGTCTTATTATCACTCAGCTCGGGCACTTTACTTTGTAACAATATAATAAATCGGGCTGTTTATGTTGTGTTTAGAGAACTCCAAAGTTAGAAATAAATGCGATTAATGGATACCGATTGTGCCTTTTAACGTTACCATTATAGCTACTTTGTTGGGATTTAGCGTTTCCTAACCTTCTATTAACCTCCAAGACGAGGGAGGATTCATTCATTGTTAGAGAGACATCACTTTGTTTCTTTTTACAAACAGTTACATACCCTTTGCAAACAGACGAAACGTAGTGCAACGTATAAGTAACGCATTAACACAAAAAATACATAAATGGCCAACTGCCAACTACTTAAAAGATCTGAATATGAATTTATATGTAATCAATCCCAAATCGCAAAGTTTTCAATTGAATATTATCCTAATTGCAACCTTTTGTTTCAGTTTTTTGTAGTCACCAAGATGCAGTACACATCACAGCCATATTGGGTGAGTCTGTGGTTTTCAACTGTCACGTGGAGTTCCCAGCAGACCAACCAGTGCCGTATGTGTTGCAATGGGAGAAGAAGGTAGGCGACACGGTAGGATTTTACCCCTCTGCTCTCTTATTGTGGTGGCCATCGGATGGGCATTTCGTATGCCCTAGGTTTGGTTCCTAATGTGCACCATTCAGCACATAAGGAACATTTTTTTCCATTTCCACTTGTAACTTTATGTCTTACATTTATACATTTCCTCCCTTGTTCTATACATGCATAAATGTACAATTGGATATTCATATCGCTATATATCAGTAAATATTAGTTTTGCTCTGAGGAATGAATTACGTATAATGGCGCCTAAGTGCATACCACCGTGCGCCTTTTTTGCTAATTTTTTGAAATACCTACTTCTTATGACGTGGTTATTTGTGATTGGCCGCAGTGATGTGATCCACAAGAAAGAGATAAGAGAGAGCAGAATAATTCATGACTCATTTTATCATAAATTCATTTACATAATCCTATTTAAAACTATATAACACATCTACTTGGAAGGTGCAATAATAGTGACTCTATCTTTTGCACATTTTTCAAAATCACAAATCAAACTAGTCACACACTGTACTAACAGTCACAAAAATACTGCTTGGTTTCGTACTTATAGTTACTTCTTAGCTCTTCATCTAGTGGCGATTGTTCGAAATTGAAAATGTGCAATTTCGAACAACTGTTTGTGTAGATGCATTTTGGCCGTCTCTCTCTTTATCTCTGCATGGTTCTTCGACTTCTCTTTCTATCTACGCATTTGTGTTTTGCATTTAGGTACTATGCTTGTAGTTGCATGAGTTTGGCATGTTACACTAATTAATTGTGAGTACTGCAATATACATTTTAATCGTAAGCTTGTAAATACAAGTGCGTCTCTGTGCAGTTTAATTATCCTCGACCAATCTAAACAATCCGTTAATTAATCATTGTTTAACTTAAAAAAATACAAAGTTAGATGGAAAAAATATATATAAATTACAAAAATGTAGTAAAAGCACAATTAATCCAACAATTAAGTGCCATAAAGCATTTTCATGTGTCATTCATAACATTAATCCATGGATCCGTCGATCTACCTTATACCCCAGATTCAGAAGATGGTATCAGTGTTGAACTGAATTCTTCTTAGATGACTTACTTTAATGTTTCTAAATCAAAATGCACTCTTTCGTAAAACTTTTTCAATTAAAACGCCTTAAAATTGTAAAAACTTATAAGCAAGTGTCACAAACCTTTTGTGCTTGGATCACAGACCCTTTAATTTTATTTCTAGACATTTCTATTTTTTAAAGATTTCTAAATTTAATTTTGCATGTTTCTTCTTTACCCTTATACGTGTTTTCTACATGACTCATCAGCTCTTGAAAGTTTCGCCAAGATATTCATTTTCTGTCAACGATTTTTTCTTTTCCTCGTTTTTCAAGTAAATATTTCTTTTCATTCGTTTTCAATTATTTTCTTTATTTCAATAAATTCCTCTTTCAAAGGGGTCGTGCATTAATCACGTGATGTTTTTAGCAAATTTTTAAACCCCACCCTCTTCTGGTGACCCCCCCCCCTTCCCTCTTCTTTACCCAAAATCACGTGAATTTTAAAAATTGTCAGAATATTATGTAACCTAAGTACATTTACGTAGGGAAAAAAAGACACATATCACTCGTAGAATTTGCGCTTTAACCGTGTGAATCGGGCTCGACGAAAAATAGGTGGTAGTTATTTGAAATCCATGTCTTGCGCTTTAATCGTGTGAATCGGGCTCGACGAAAAATATGTGGTAGTTATTTGGAATGCATGTCATTCATGACCGTTTGATAATAATCTACTAATTATTAACTTGGCCATGGATGACATGCATTTCAAATAATTACCACCTATTTTTCGTCGAGCCCGATTCACACGATTAAAAAGCAAATTCAACGAGCAATTGGTATCTCTTTTTTTCCCTACGTCAGTGTACCTATAAACTATAATTTAGTTATGGAAAATTAAGGACCGTGACAATAATGTCCAGACCGACATTAAAGTTGCAAGTTTAAAAATCGCGCGTTTTAGCGAAAAAAGAAATACACGTGATTATCTCACTACCAGAGCTGGGCAGTATTCGATTTTGTAAATACTTTTTAGTATTCAAATCCTTTAAAGTATTCATATACCTACTTTGTAATTAAATACTTTTATGGAAGCAGTATTTGTATTTGTAACTCAAATACTTTTACAAATATTTAGTATTCGAATACTTCGCAAAGTACTTGGATACTTCGTAAAGTATTCGAATACTTCGCATAGTATTTAAATACTTAACCTTCGGGCTGTAACTTTTGAACTAGTAGCCCAATCTTGGAACTGTTTGAAATTATGGATTCTACAGGCCATATTCTATAAGAACATTTTTTTCCGGGTCGATATGAGACAATTTTTTTTCGGGCCTCAAAAAAGGCAGTGTAACCTTTTTTTTTACCAAAAATCGACTACACCAAAATTTCTCGGGAAAACACTTTTTCTTATTAATTTTGGTGCGTAGAATCCAAAACAATTCGTACTTTTTCGATCAGACTACTCAATCAAAAGTTATAGACTAGAAACAAATTTCGAAAGAAAATTCAAAGGGCTGTAACTTTTGAACTAGTAGCCCCATCTTGGAACTGTTTGAAATTATGGATTCTACAGGCCACATTCTATAAGGAAATTTTTTTTCGGGTCGATCTGAGACAATTTTTATTTCGGGGTTCAAAAAAAGGCAGTGTATAACCTTCCTTTTTTACCAAAAACCGACTACACCAAAATTTCTCGGGAAAACAATTCGTACTTTTTCGATCAGACTTCTCAATCAAAAGTTATAGACTAGAAACCAATTTGGAAAGAAAATTCAAAGGGCTGTAACTTTTGATCTAGTAGTCCGATCTTCAAACTGTTTGAAATTTTGGATTCTACGGGTCAAATTCTATAACATGTTTTTTCCCGATCGATCTCAGAAATTTTTTCTCAGGCCTCAAAAAAATGCAGTACTTTTATGTTATTCAAATATTTGAGAACAATTTAGAAATGTTTAAGGATAGATTCCATTGTCACAAGATCAAATATAAAAATCCGATACAATTGAATACCGAACGATCCTAGGAACGATCCTGGAGTGAAACTTTTTGACTCGATAGTCTACGTAACTTAAAAACAATAGAGACCTTTCTTATATCCTTAAGACCATATGTACCAATTTTCAAAGCGATCGCACGTTTCTAAACAAACTACCATGCACACTGACAAACGGATGGTCAAAAATGGATCTGTTCCAAAATCGCTAGGATTAATTTCAGAAAGGCGTACGTATCATGTGCACGACGTACGATCGCTTTGAAAGCTGGTACACGTCTTCTTAAGGATATAACTGGTATAAGAAAGGTCCTGGTAGGTACCTCCTATACTAAATTGCATTAATTACTATGGGAGTAAATTTTACAACAAAATACCTTTGAAATATCGATCATTACCAATAACTCAGCTAAAAAATGTTATTAGCAATTATCTAAAAGCAAATGCCTTCTATTCAGTGAACGAGTTTCTTCAATCCCAGTCCATTGATCTGTGATATTCAGGTTTAATATATTTTAATTTGTTTTGTTTGTCTTTCTATGTAATTGTAGTTTGTTGTTTTCACTTTGACGAATCTTATATAGTTCTACTATTTATTGATAATAAAGTATTGATTGATTGATTGATTGATTGATTGATATAATAATATAACAATAATAATACGCTTTTACTCCCTTTAAATTTGTATATAACAATAGAAATATAAAAAATGCTAACCCCATACAAAGTATAGCTTGATTTTTTAAGTAGTATTAAGCCTTTTATCTAGTATACTATTTTAAATTTTTATTGTATTTGAGTGACAAGTATTTGAATACTTTTTACTGTATTCGAATACTTTTCAAAGTATGAAATACTTTTCAAAGTATTCGAATACTTTTTATAGTATTCGAATACCTTTGATAGTATTAGAATACTTTTTAAAGTATTCGAATACATTCTAAAGTATTTGAATACTTTTCAATGTATCTGTATCTAGTATTCGCTTGTGCTGGACTTAAAAGTATTTAGTACTCAACTCCCTTCGGTTGTGTAAAGTATTTACTATTTAGTATTCAATACTTTTTGAAAGTATTCTGCCCAACTCTGCTCACTACACCCCCTGTCCTCTTCTGATATTTCGTTCATTTTATCAGACCTCTACTTTCCTCTTCTTCGAGCGTCACGTGCCTATAATGATCGACCCCAAAGGACTTTTCACAGTAGTACTATGTTTCTCGTAAATCATAAGAAACTTCAATCGATTCTTCTATAACCGCCACCCTTCCTTTCGAATTCACGCAATCATTATCTCCTCTATGCGTTCCATTATAATCGAAAATGGAATAAAATTTCGCCTTACGACCAGTAATACTTTTTTACTTCTAATTTAAACCAACAAAAACATCATTTATTAAACCCAAAATTACCATAAATTATGGTACCAACTACTGATATAACAAAGAGTCAGTTTATCAGTGGCGTAACTACCATCGGGCAGTTCGGGGCAATGCCCCGAGGCCCCGCAATCACGGGGGCCCCGCAACCCGAAAGGTGCCAGCCACACGTAGAAAACGATGTATAGTATACAAAATATAAAAATGTGTGCCATGCCTCATTTTAGTGATTTGACTAGCACAATGTCAACGAACGAATTTTTCGAACTAATCATCAAACAATATGGGATTCTCGAGAGTGATTTTATTCAGATGTTCACGACTTTTTATTATTCTTGACATTACCTGTAACTGTGGCAAGTCTGGAGCGATCGTTCAGTAAGTTGAAAATCATAAAAAATTATCGAAGATCTCAAATGGGTCAGAAAAGATTGATCAATCTAGCATTTCTTTCAATTGCATCTAAAATCGCGTCGAAAATGGATCTGACCCAAGTAATCAAGGATTTGCAAATGCAAAGGCTAGAAAAAGAGACTTTTAGATTTTCTATATAACTTAGGCTCGTCAAATATGTATGTAATTAATATTTCAAAAATTAAACGTTTAGTATGTTCCGATTTTATATTTTGCAATTAATAAGAAGTATAGATTACAATGTGAAATTGTTATTTACTAAATTAAAAAAAAAAAAAAAGATTTAAAAAATGACTGTTTTAAGGTGATTTTATTTAAACGATTCTTATTAAAAACTTTAATGCGTTCCTAGTACTTATAGGGGGCCCCGAGGACCATTTGCCCCGAGGCCCCGAGCTGTCTTGTTACGCCACTGCAGTTTATTATACGAAACAGTTTTGTTTAATTACACATCTATAGACCTGAATATACAATCTTTTTGGTAACAAAGGAACCTAAACAACAAATTCAGAATCCCATTTTTACCAAATTAACCAACGAAAAAGCTCTAAAGGTAGATGTTTGACTTTGTATGGAACTTTCTAAACTCACCCAAGATCTAACCTTATTGTTCCATTAATTGATAAACTCCTCAATTTTTTGTTTTTCAAAGGTTATTCATGACTCCCTTCATTAGAAACTTTTAATTAGTAACTCTAAATTTCATCCCAGTAAAACACTATGGATATAATCGCACTTTAAAATAACACAATGTAATTATTTTCAGATGAACCTTATCTTTTTACAGGAAATTCAACTTTAAAATAAAGTAAGAAAGCGATTATTTAAACACAATCTACACCAAATTCGAATAACATGATCGAAATTTTCGTGCTAAATTGGTAACTACATTTAACGTCAAAAATAAACGAAATAAAACACAGGGTGACCGAGTATTACTGTAGGTGCTGAAACCTAATAAATCGTCCGCATGACGTTTTAGAGGCATGCACCTCTTAATACCGATCATAATAATAATAATAATATAATAATACTTTATTGCTCAAACAGAAAACATTCCAATGATAGGGCAACAATACAATTACAATTACAAGAGTGAAATTAAAATAATGTAACTAAAATAGTATACTTAGGTAAATTAATATTATAAACATACAAAATTTGTAAAAGTGCATTGAAAGATATAATTAAATTCGATTAAATTGCGCAAAAAAAATATATAAATTATATTAAAACGTGCAAATGAACAACAGAGATATACAAGAGATATAAGTAATAGGAGTAATGAAAGAGAAAAAATAAAATAAAAAATAAAATAAAAATAATATGTAATAATTATCTTAAAGAATTATTGAGCTTAGTAATGAGTTGGCGAAGTATTTCCGGTAGAGAGGTATATTGTATATCACAATCCTGGCAGACCATATTAAAATTACGAGACATGATTAATGTAGGGGCTTTACACAATATATTAGTTCTCGGAGTGCGGTAAGTGAAAGTTAGTGTAAGCCTGCTGTTGCGCTGAGGAACAGAAAAGTTTAGGTGTGCAAGGAGATTAGGAGAGTCTACAAGATTGTGCAATAAGCCAAATAAAAACTTAACACTGTTCATAATTCGGCGGCATTCCATCGACTGGACAGTATACCGGGATAGGAGAGATTGGTGTGGAAAGCCTCTTTCAGGATACGCACCATCAAGCTTAAAAGAAACGTACTTCAAGAATCTGCGTTGTACTTGTTCAATAAGCTGTTTTTGCACATCGTACTGCGGGTACCAAACTATATCGCAATATTCTAATTTGGGTCTTTTGGTCTAACGTAAAGTACAGGCGAAACAAAACCTGTGACCAGTCTAAAATTAAATCTTTGGCGTATTTAAAATGGTGATTGAGAAGAGCGACCCTGCAATAAAAGAATTTCTAACAAATTGAAGCTATTATAGAAACGTCAAATATTGTACTCATTTCTTAGTTCAAATGCCTCTTTCTCATGATCAATAGGGTAATGAGTATGCTTCATGCTCGGAAATGAAGTAATTTTGTGCCTTGGCATTTTACTAATATTGATTCCCAAAGAAATTTATAATAATGAAATTCGAGAGGGAAACGAAAATGTGAAAAATGTTTTGTGGAAGTTGAAAATTATTATACATAAAGAAACTTTTAGCGCTAAAATCAAAAGCACTTTTTCAATTTCCTCTCCAATCCATCGATCTAAAATTGTATCTTCGGTAAGGGCGGAATTAAAATTTTATTAAGTGCGTCACGGAGGATATTAATGGGATTAATGCGAAACCGCTGAATCTCGTGCTGCCGGGGCGATATAGTTGCTTTGCCTACGCACTCCTTTATGCATGAGCATGATAAATTATCATTGCCTGAAACGTTTCAGCTTCATCGAAAAAAAAGGAGAAATTGTTCAAGAATTCTGTTGTTTTAAAGGGTCAAGAAATCCCAATCTACATCTGGTATGAAAGCTACCCGACTCACAGCGGTGAAGGATACGAGGGACGTGTCTCTCGTGTGTCCCCGGATTCTCCCTACGGAGCCGCCTCCCTTAACCTGACGAATATTCGCGAGTCGGATCAGGGCTGGTAAGGAAAATTTTGTTGTAGTTCAGGGAGCGAAAGTCGAATCGAATTTTTCCATCTAGGTACGAATGCAAAGTGGTATTCCTCAACCGGTCTCCGAACTCGCACAAAAATGGTACGTGGTTTCACTTGGACGTACACGCTCCACCGAGATTTAGCGTCACGCCAGAGGATGTTATTTACGTTACTTTGGGTGATGCTATTATACTCAATTGTCAGGCGGAAGGTACACCTACACCTGAAATACTTTGGTACAAAGACGCTAATCCTGTAGAAACTACTGCAACAATAGGTACACGATTACTAACATCCTTTAAGCACCACTTTAGAGTTCTCAAACTTTTAAATTCACATTTTAGGAAATTTTATTTCAGGGCAAACCTAAATGTGTAATCGATTAACGTAGGAATCGTCTTTTGTATTTGCGAACAAAGGCATTCTGTATAAAAGACTTGTATATGGCATCGTAATTGTTGGCAATGTCTAGACCCTCAAATTATATAGATGAATGATTTTCTAATATACCATTTCGTCCTGTTTACTGTATAAGATCATTGCGGCGAAAGCTCCCTCATTAATAGTGAATGGGTCCCATAACTCGATTGTAATTGCTAATCGATGTGTTTTGCATTTCTGAAGTCCCTACAGTAAATCCAATTCGGTGCAGTATGGGCAAGATTACGAAAACCGTCTGAATCTTGCATAAATGTTAGATCGATGATTAAAAGGATGAATGGCTCTATAATTTTCGTGCTAATTTAGATCTAAAAATAAAACTGTAGGAAGTACGGTGATGACGAAATTAGATGAAATCGCCAATGACTTTAGGAAAATCTTCCATCTTGGATGTTGATGTCACGGTTCAGATCTCACTGTCGAGTGGATGTATTGTGTGTGTAATATCAATGTTACTTTGAATTTTTTCAGGTTTGACAAATATTGTCCCAAAAATTAGAAATAGATCTAAAATTTTGACTTTTTTGAGCATTTGGGTAACCATCGCAATTTTTTTCTCACTAGAAAGGAGACACCCTCTCCCCCACTTTTTGTGATGCCACAAGGTTGTGGCCTCGAAATACGTTTCAGAACTTGTAAACATTTTCGAGTTTAATAAATGTTAATAAAAGCTTGATTATAGTTTTGATTAATTAAAATCATTCGGCTTTTAGGTTGTATGTCTGGGAAGATATTGGAAATAAGTCTCAGAACTTAATTTTATAGACTGTGATTAATTAAAATCTAGGATTTTTTATGTCTTGCTTTCCAATTAGGATATAGCCCCGGCAACGCCCAAAATAAATCCGCATACTTAAGTATTTTGTCAGCTAACAATGTTTTTGAGGCATGTGATTGGATGGTTTTACAGCAAATAATATCAGTCTTTGCAAAAACATCCAGTTACAACAGTGTTAAGTATGCTTTATAATACCGGCGATCAGCCTATACAATTTGACGTGGAGTTAGCAGTACATGTTTTCCAAAATTGACTGGGGGGGGGGGGGGGGAGATTTTCGAATTGATTAATTGATTTTTAAAATATTTTGAAATAATCATATTTTCCATCTTATAATATTTTTGTTTTAGTAATTGAACATCGTTTACACAATGGGAAAATTCTTATCCAGAAACGTAACTAAAGACCCCACAACATTTTTAAATTTTATCAGGCGATTGCTCCATCAAGACATAATTCCCTGGATTATTACTCCCTTTATAAATGACCATTAATTTATATTAGATCGCAAACTACGCGAATGTGCATGGCGAAAAATGTGGAAGATTCGAGAATTTTCCGTCAGAAAATGTAGGAAAAATTGTTTAAATTTTGTTTGTACTTATAAAGGCGTGTGTGAACCGCCTGTGAATCTCTTTGTGCTCGAACTAAAAACCGACAAGCATCGGATCGCTGCGAGTGGCTCGACGTACGTTCGCGAGCAGCGTCCGCACTGACCTTAGTTTCAATAACCGTTGCTGTTACAGTTTGCCTTTGTGAATTCTAATTTCAGCTGCATGTTTGGTTTTCCAAAGGCCAAGTTTAATCGTAAAACAAAATCGGTTTTCTTCTTCTATAACTATCGATATAATCATTCAATTTCGAAAATTCCAGCTGTTTTGACCAAAAGCTATAAAAAAAAGATCTTTTACCCAAAATCTTCATGAAACCTTTATATTTACGCCTACTTTATGTCAGGAAATTTTGGTTTCTATGACAGAGACAGTAAAACTTTACCAGACTACTTTTATTGTTGCCTATCACTTTGCCCGCGGCACCTGACTTTTCTATATAAAAATTGAAATTTTATATTAAAATACGGTTTGGGGTAAAAAAAACTCATTAGTAGACTTAATTCAGAAATTAAAGTAATCGGCTCTAAAGGGGCCTCATACTTCAAAATTTCCTCGCCAGTCATGTATCATTTTCCTGACTTTTCCTTCACCTCTTAACCTACCGAACACGGTCGAGTACAATCGTCACTTGATGTGACACCGTTGTCTTTTAGCCTTGAACGAAACCGTAACCATGGAAACAATCAAACAAAAAATATTAGCACATACGCGGTTTGTTATATAGATTCGAGTTTTAAAAACAAAAGACCTCCATTTTATTCAAAATATCAAAGTTATTGCCACCCATAATAAATTGAGAAAAGAAAAAATTTAAAAATCGGTCCTCCCATGTCTTTAATTAAGTAAATATAAAAAAAAACCATCAAAGTATTTAAAATCATTTTCGAAAAATCGGCTTGTAACACTCACCCTGTAGAGTGCAAAATTTCCAGAATTTTTGAATATTGAACAAGTACCTACATCAAACATTATGGGGAAAAAATTCTGCCACTTTTGAATTCTACAAACCAAACTCTATCAGAAAAGGTCTGTTCGCAGTCGACCTCCGACAAAAAAATAATGTTAATGTTGGATATTGACAATATAGGTATATAGATTGATGGAAAATGATTGTGATTTTACAAATTTCCCCTAACCAAATCGTCTCTAATTACAATTCAATCATTAAAAATGAATCCTTATGAGTATACAGAATGGGCGAATTCACAAAAAAATGAAACTTCACCCTTGCATTAAATTAATTGTTGCTACCAGCGTTTCATGTTAGAGTGGACCTTCATCTTTGATCTTAGACACCACTTGTTCATATTTGCGAGCTTTAGTACTTGTATGTATTAACCCTAACCCTAACGTTCCAGTATTTACATTATGATGGCATCGCCTATTCAATCATACAGGGTTAGGCAAAAGTATGGATATATTTATCTAATAAAAAAATGTGTGAGCAACAGTTTTGTTTATTTCATGCGCAATCTGTTTTTGATCTCCACATTTTTTATCCCGTGCAATCAACATGAATTTTTGACTGACACATTTTTCTTTGATTTTTGAATTTAACCATGTTACTTTCATATGGGGTTCTGTAACAAAATTATCCAGAAACATTAATTTTAACACGGTCGTGTGTGGTGAAAATTAAGCAAGCTTGCAGTATGTCGGATTTTTCGTATAAGCTATGACGAAAAATGAAAGTCGACTGTGTGTCACATTATTTCACCATTTAAAATCCATTTTTTCTGGATAATTTTGTTATACCTACCACCATGAGGGTAATTTTTATACATATACTGCATCATTATACGAAGGTAGTAGATGTCACTCTGTTTGAATATAAACACGCACAGGAAAAATATAAAACGGCGACAATTATTACATTCCCTATATCTATCCTTGAGATTTAGGCGCCTAAATTATAAGTCTCTTTTCTAAAAAATAAAATGGATGAAAAGTTTAATGTTTCTTTTCGTCACAAACCAACAGCAGTTAAATAAATAAATATTCATGGCTACTTTAAGTCAGGGAATGTTAGTTTCCATGACAAGGCAGTAAAATTTTACCAAAGTACCTTTCCTGATTCCTCATGTCATCACTGGCAGATGGACATTATTCAAAAGGTCTTTATGAAAATATAAAAATGGGTAAAATTTAACACAAAGTCGTGACAGTAAAATGACACTACTCGATTCGGAAATTTAAGTATTCGGGCTGTAAAGGGACCTTGTACTTCAATATTTTCTCGCCAGTAATGTGTCATTTTCCTGACTTTTATGTAAATGTTTCATTATATTCAAAGTTGTTAATTTTGCAAAATCCTGCATTCATATCTATACAGTTTCATTCAATTCTCTCGATATAGGTACTCCAACGCAGTCATTTCAATAAAGGGAGGCATGCATCTCCATCTTCCCTATAGTTAATTGAAGCCTAAATCTCATCCCGTATCATCGTTACCCATGTTCATTTGTGAACTGACAGTTCTTAACCATTCTCCCATTTCTTATACCGTTTTATATTATTTAATTTATTTATTATAATTCAAATTACAACGATTGAGTCTTTACTTGATACCTTGTCAGGGGAATATATTTTCTTCAGATTTTAATTAACAAAACTATATATTCACCGCAGGAGCCATTTTTGTGTGCAAACGGTTTTAGTAAAACAAAGGATACTTTTCCATATCCATCCACGTTTTATGAGCGTCGCGCTTATAAAAGCTAAACTCAAATTTTTATTGGGATTTCGATTTTAAGAGGTAAAATAAAAAGCATCTTTATTGGTACTCATCTGTATCTAATATTAGCAAAACGATAAACCTTTCTCATACATAACTCGAGTGTAGCTTATTGCTTTCCTCGCGTATGTAGGGGATGATGCCCCCCCTTGCATTGTAAATGTGTTGAGAACTCTAATGCGGCTGTATGCCTTATCCGCTGCAATTCAGCATTGCTAACGAGGTAGTTTCTTCAGGAATATTCAATGATGGCACGGAGCTTCGCATTTCGAACATCCGACACGAAGACATAGGAGATTACACGTGTATAGCGCGAAATGGCGAAGGGCAAATTTCGCATACCGCCAGAGTGATAATAGCGGGGGGAGCTGTCATTATGGTTCCTCCGACAAATCAAACGAAACTGGAAGGAGAGAAAGTGCAATTTAACTGTGAAGCGAAAGCTTTGCCAGGAAATGTAACAGTGAAGTGGTTTCGAGAAGGAGCACCGGTAAGGGAAGTTGCCGCACTCGAAACCAGGATCACGATTCGTCGAGACGGTTCTTTAGTTGTAAACCCCGTAAGTGCGGACGATTCAGGGCAATACCTTTGTGAAGTGAGTAATGGCATCGGGGAACCGCAATCCGCATCGGCATATCTCAACGTTGAATGTAAGTAATCTTTTTTTTTTTTACTAACTTTGACACGTATTCGTGACAGTGCGGCAATGGGTGATAAAACAATTACTACTCCCGAGTTCATACAAAATCCCACCCATCGAAATATTAACAGCCAATTACCGTCCAATAAGTGTTCGTTGGGAAAAGAAAAATACGTTCCAGATGTCTCTTCCTGAGTTCATTATGAATTTTCTAAATTCTATAAAGCTCTCATAAATACGTGAGGCGGCCAATTAAAGCAGAGCGATTCATTTGTCGACCCTAATGAAAGTTAGTTTTTTTGCGGGCAATATAAAACTTTCTCAATTAGACGTACCAAGTTAGTTCCAATATTATGGCATCCGGTCCTTGACACACCAGTCGAGATTTGGATCGATTTGCTAACACATTTAATGTTAATATGAATTATTATCGTTTGTTGAAGCTTGTAGGGGGTAGAATTTGAAATGTTATCTACTTATGACAAGGCAGAGAAGGCTGATGTGAGTACAATAATAAGGTCAATAATGTGTCGTTTTACGTACTAGCTATAATATAGATATTAACTTTTCGTGTTTCAGTTAAAATTATCTTCTCTGTCAATAAATTTGTGTCCATAGAACTATCAGATCAATTGTATTAAGAATGGTAAGGGCGCTTTACTCGACCGACGATAATCTTGGAGATCGTAATTAACGTTCGTAATGCTTTCCATCTAACATCTTACTGAATCTGAATTCAATATATATCTTATTGTACGAAAATTCGACTCAAAAAGATGACGGCCAACTTAGTCAGAGCACCAGACATATTTTGAATAAATCAACCAAAATACATACTTGGACATCTAGGATAATGCGTTTCGACGTATCTCTAAAAAAAATAAAGTTAAGAATCATTTTTAAACGTATTAATAAAATCGAGCTTGTTAATCACCAACAGACAGGGGCGTTCCAAAGAGAGGGGTTGTCTCACTCCCCTTAAAGTTGTCCATAATCGACATGTACGTCTGTCTAGGTAAAATGGGAATGCTAAATTAAACTGTTTTTCTACAAAGGGCAAGAAAATGTTGTTGGAAATAAATATTGTATGAGACGAGACAGAAGGTAACTAAACTTCTTCGCAACACATAATAATAAGTATTTTTTGGCAAGACTTGACAGATACGTAATGAAAGGAGCTTAGCTATTCTGTATAATGGCGGTTTACAGTACAATTAATTAGTGAATTGAACTCATTTGGTCATTTTACCAATTCAAACATGTCTGTTCTTCGCGTTTTTCGATTATTATCAGTGAATTTTACGAACTGCACGTATTCGTGCCTGCAGATCGTTTGTTCTAGACTACTTTATTGAGGGAAATTGAATTGGAGAGTTTTGCTTCCGAAAGGCAAGTTCTGCAGTGGTAGGTTTAAAAATAAAGCTCTAGCTGAATATCGTACCTATTATAGTCCAGCAGCTCGCAACACTTCTGTGTGCAAGTAGGCGTATAGAGAAAGTTGTTTGTGGGTTTATTACTTGTGTGTATAGGAAGCATAAAAAACTTGGTTTTTCTTTCGGAAATACAGCGTTTTATCCTCGAGGATATAATTGAAATTCCATCATTTGGTCTGTTTGATTGTTATCAGTGGACCTACACCTGTATATTTGTCTTTACATTTTAATCGGTATTACTCGTTTCCACACGACCCTATAGGTAGAGCAATCGGAGCGGTTTTTTTTAATGTGGTATCCCCTGAAGGCCTAATCCGCCAATCCAAATTCGATATTTATCGCGACAAGGGCCTGGACGAATGTCTGGCGTCGGAAAATCTTGGACAGCTTCTTCTTTAGTTAGCCTGCGTCACCTGACGGCTGCTCATCTCAATTTCTTCGTCGGAATTCCTGTCGTCGTTGGTGCATATATCGACTACGTTTATGCATGCCGTCGAGACCTGACAATAATTGCATATTGAGATACATGTCACCTGCAAGCTGGACCGCAACCCTTCCGATATTTGCATGAAATGCTTTTCAACAGGTGTGTTGGGGCAACTTCTTTAGTATAAGAAACGTGAATCATTCAATTGTTGGTTGCTTTCCATCCCCAGTCAAGAGGGTTTTTTCTGTGCCAAGCCATAATTGTACCTGATGGTAAGTGTTATTGTGCGACCTCGAATGTCGGTGTAATTTGTTGTTGATGGAGCTCCTCACAAATTAAATATAGCAAATGGAATTCAAGTTGGAGACATTCTGAGTGCTATTGCTAAAAAGCGCCACAAAAAACTTCTTTCTAATGGCAGCTATAGTTGACTAGTTTTAATGGAATTTATTAAATTTATTAAACACTGTTTATTATTCGAAAAAACTTTTTAGGGAGCCCTTGCTTGTGGTTGTAATTACGTCTCTAACAATGGGACTGATTGACCTAAGTTTATTGTTAAAAATATCAACCATTTCAGGATATTTTTGTTAATTTTACGGGAGTGCATAGATATCAAATTGTTCGGAGGTTATTGTTCAAGTCCGGAGAGTTTACTGTCCAGGGGTTATTGTCACCTGAGGGTTAATGTGCGGGAGTGTTAATGGATAGGGGTTTTTGACCGGGGGTTATTTGCCTGGGGGTTTGTGTCTTCGTAATTCAAGATATCGAAAGCTTGCAGTTTTCACAAGGCTGAGGTAACTTTGAACTACTTTTGTCCTAGGGTCCTGCAATTTTTTGCAATAGGTAGGCTATACCTTGAAGGTGTGCCAGACGATCATCAAATGTTTGTCTTAAGGGACGGAGCGGGGGGGGGGGGGGGGCATGAGTTATTCCCTGAAATGTTAATAAGGTCTACAGTTGTAATCAACCACGGTAAGGGGTCGAGGAGGAGGATTATGGTTGGTAGAAATTAATTCCTTTCGTTGACATCCTTTACCATGAAAGTTAAATCCAATGTATGCCCCCCCCCCCAAAGTTTTACATAGCACCTCTAAAGGCATGCGTACACGAATCTGAGACAAATTGGTTGTCCCATATGGGTAAAGTTCTGCACGTTATACTTTCAGAAACAGCACCTCAGGAAATAATTAATGGGGATGGTCACTCTTAAGACAACAACATTTGAAGGCCGCCTGGCAACCCTTCAAAGGATATGCTACTTATTGCAAAAAATTCCAAGCCTCCAGGACCATTCTCCTAAAAGTAGTTCAAAACCTTAAAAGTGGGTCCGGACGAACGGACAGGCGGACGGAGAAAACGCAAACAATACCACATTTTTTTAATTCTTAAAAAATGTCCTAACAATCGTACTTACAGGATGGTGGAGGTCAGTAATTGGATTGAAGACTTCAAGTAAGCGGCATGTTTAAATAAAACCCAATTAAATCCTCAAAATATTGGTGGTTCAGAATGACAAACTTTTACAACTTGGGCGGTATCAATTTCAGAATGAACCCCAAAACAATTATGAATTGAAGTACGACACAATATTCCCCACCTCAACGAAAGTGAGCCTCTGGAATACAAAAAGGAAACGATCTCACTTTGGGTAAATAACTTGGGGAAAAACTGCTAGAGGTTACAAAGAAACCATAGGTGTAACACAAAACATTGGTACCAAAGGTTCAAATGTCACTGCCCCCTCCCATACATGTATATTATAATAACTTTTAAATATACATTAATCCTAAATGCAATGTCAAGCTTAGAACAAAATATCAAAGAAGAACGCGTGTAAGTATACCAGAACATGGTAAAAGCTACTACTACAAAACACGTGGTCGGAGAGGAAGCAAAAATCAAAAAAGGCGCAAGGATTTCATGCGGTGAAGAACCGAAGATCGCGATAAAGACGTTAAAACTGATCGTTTCGAAAATGTTTGCTTATAGTTGACGCCAAATTAAGTTGGGTATGACTCATTCTTAAAATTGTACGGATTAAGATTCAAGCAACGTCAGTCGTATCTAAATCGACGTTTAGTTAATATGCGCACGGGTAGATGTCTCTGTAACTTGCCAACTTCAAGTTCAACTTTTAATCTGTCAAACTTCGAGGTTGCGTAAATTGATATGCGGATTCAAAACTAAAAGCACTTAAAGGGAACTGTTAAAGGGAACTATATTTATAGTAGTGAATTATTAAAATAGAAGAAATGGTTGTTATAATTATCTCCACTTATTTGAACCTATACTTAATGTAGGTAAACACACCGATCCTCTGCATTCATTTATAACATGCATTTCAGGCAGAAAACTGGCAAATCAAATGCGTTATTCTAAAATGTTGAACATTAGCTACGAGCAAGGTTTCACAATATCGTATACAGTCCTCTTCTTTCGGCAAAGGTGATTTGGTAACGAGACATCTGTATCTGTACATATCGTGCTTCAGCTTATGAGATTATGTCAAGAAGAAGTCAAAAACAATTTCGTTATACTTATAACAGATGTTCAGTTCTAGTTTAGATGCTACAAGATAATTATAAAGTTACGTCAATGGTTTTCACAATTTCATATGCAAGTTGTTACAATTTACCGATTAAACTCTCCACAAGTGCAAAGTAGTTTTAAAAAAAAACTGTTTCTTGATGTATTGAAGTAAAAACGTAAAAATAAATGTTAACCAGGTAAACACGAAATGACAGAAGAAAAGCTGAGGAATGCGCGACATACGTTTTAGACCGCCCGTATGAATTGTACAGCAGACTCAAGTTACGAATTTCTATCCTTCTCTAGCAACCGTCAATCTGTGTGAGAGGCACCGTTCCATACGCTAATTATTGCGATGAGTCATACCCAACTTAATTTGGCGTCAACTATAACTGTAGTCTGTTTCGCTGAAAAATATTCCTTCAACAGTTTACGACCAAAGACCATTTTTTGCCATCCGAACTAATGACCTCCAGAACATCTGTCGCCAAAATATTCGTTCCCAAAAGAATTTAATGCACGTTAATTTCTCCTCTGAGATATTTACATTTTAAAACCTCGCTCCGAAATATTCTCTCAGCTGAAGATTCATCTACGCGCAATTTGTCTCCGCAATAT